TCTCAGCTACTATATTTAGCAGCTAAGTTTTTCATTTAATCCATACATGAAGTGGGTACTACTGCTTCTGCATTTTATATGTGGGGAAACTGAGGCTGAGAGATGTTAATAGGACCTAAATCACAGCTTATTAAGAGATTTTCTTGTGCAATAACTATTAGAGCTGATAATATTAACTTCTGTGCCAGATTACTTTATAAAAGTGGATTTGTTACTTAATCAGAGAAATATCAATGGATTTGCTCACACGTGAGGCCCAGTGCTGGGCACTGGAAACGTAGAGATGAATATGGGCCGTCCTCGAACAGCAGCGTGGTGATTGCTGGGAGGAGATGAAGGAGGTTTGAGGGGAGATGAATGTTGATGGAATGAGCCTTGACTTGGGGTGTGAACACACAACACAGTGTCCAGATGATGTGTTATTGAATTGTGCACCTGAAACCTGTATAATTTTGTTAACCAGTGTCACCTCCCTAAGTTCAATGAAAAGAAGAAAATACATTTTGAAAAATATAGGTGATCCTTTTTCTCCAGGAACTCGTAACTGCCTTGTGGGTACAAACTAGTCAGCAGGCAGCAAGACAGAGGGTGAGAAATGCACAAAGTACTAGCGAGCAAGGAGAAGGAAGCACTAACTGCTTAAGGAGTGCGGCCCGGGGTCCAGGCACGGAGGTGGCAGCTGAATCTCAAGGCCTGTGATTGGGAGTGGTGATTACTTTACTGATACAGTTGGAAGCATAAGCATCAGTAGATGCAGAAGACATTTATTCTTTAATGCTTATCATGTAGAGTAAGTGAAAATAGGGAGATCCAAAAATAATCTGTATTTTAAAACTTGATTCAAATTAAAAAATACATGTATGTGTTTTAACAAAACACACACAGAGAAAAATGTTTGGCCAGTTATACATAAAAATATTGTTAGTGGTTACCTCTGAGTGATAAAACTTCAGGACTCTTTATGTATTTTTATTGTGGAGTATTCTTTTATTGTATAAATACATTTTATATGGTGAAGCATAATTTTATTGTGGAAATGTAAATTGGTAAAAACATTTTAGAAAACTATTTGTCATTATCTAATAAATTTGAAAATGTGCAGATTCTTCCATCCATAGGCAATATGCCGAAGAAACTCTTGCACATACTTATCAGATTTGTAAAGATGAATGTTCAGGCCGGCATTGATTGTAACAGCAAAAATGTGAAAAAACATATCCGTTTCTTTGTTGTGGGAACTAGTAAAAAAGGTTTTCAATAGAAATGTGGTTGAAAGCTTTCAAAATTGGGTTCTCATTTGTTAGTTGAAAAATAAATATAGGTATTGGAAATAACCTAAATACCCACTATTAAGGGAATAGTAACACGATCGATAATAATTAAATTGTGGTATACCTATAAAATTGAATATGACATAACTATATACTTCCATGGAGTTTTAAATGGAATGTGAAATGCTTATGAAAGAATGTGAAATGTAAAGGCAATATAAACATTATCATGTAACAAATCCATAGATAAAATGCTGAAAGAAAATACACCTAAATCTTAACAATAGTTACTGCTAGTTTGTGGGATTATGAGTGATTTCCTTTATGTTTTACACTTTTTGGGGTGTAGTCTAAATTTTCCAACATAAGAATGCATTGCTTTTTAAAAATAACAGCTTTATTAAGCTATAATTCACATACTATATAGTGCAACCATTTAAAACATTCTGTGTTCAATTTAAATTACACAATTCAAGGTTTTGTTTTGTTTCGCATATTCACAGAGCTGTGCAACCACTGCCACAGTCTAATTTCAGGACACTGTCATCATCCCCAGAGAAGCCCGGCACGCATCAGTGTTCACTCCCACCCCCCTCCGGGCCATCACTAGTTTACTTTCTATCTCTATAGATTTGCCTGTTCTGGCTGGTTTATATAAAAGGAGTCATTCAACATGTACCTTTTTGTGTTTGGCTTCTTTGATGCAGCATAACATTTCAAGTTCACCCATGTCATATCATGTGTCAGTATTTTATTTCTTTTTATTGCCAGATAATATTCCATTGTATGAATATTCCACGTTTTATGAATCCATTCATTAGTTGATGGAATTTGTTTTGTTTCCACTCTTTGGCTATGATGAATAATGCTGCTATGAACATCTTTATACAACTTTTTATGGACATAAATACCTAGGGATAGAATTGTTAGGTCATGTGGTAAGTTTGCTTAGCATTTTGAGGAACTGCCAAACTATTTCCCAAAGTGACTGCAGCATATTACATACCAGCAATACCCAAGGTTTCCAGTCTCTCCACATCTGTGTCAACCCTTGCTCTTATTTGATTGTAGTGATCCTAGTGTGTGACAAGTGGCATCTCACTGTGGTTTTGATTTGTATTTCTCTAATGGCAAACATGAATATCTTTTCTTGTGATTATTGGCCATTTGTATGTCTTCCTTGGAGAAACGTTTACTCAGATGCTTTGCCCACTTTTTAATTGTGTTGTGTTTTATTGAATTGTAAGAGTTCTTTATGTATTCTGAATACAAGTCTCCTTATCAGACATATGATTTGCAGGTATTTCTCCCATTTTGGGGTTGTCCTTTCACTTTCTTAATGGTACCAATTAAACAAAAAACATTTTAATTTTGATGAACTCCAATTTATCTAATTTGTTTGTTATCCATACTTTTGGTAGTCTATATGAGCAAAGATTTACTTTTATCTAAACTTCTAAGAGTTTTATTGTTTTAACTCTTACATGTAAGTCTATGATCCATTTTGAATTAAATTTTGTTTATTGTGTCAGGAAGGAACCTAATTTCATTCTTTTGCATGTGGGTACCCAGTTGTTGCAGCACCATTTGTCAAAAAGACAATTCCCTATTGAATTGTCTTGGCATCCTTGTTGAAACTCAATTGATTATAAATATAAGGGTTTATTTCTGGAGTCTCAATTCTACTCCGTTGATCTGTCCTTATGCCAGTACTACACTGTCTTGATTAGTGTAGCTTTTGTTTTAAGTGTTGAAATCTGGAAGCGTGAGGTCTTCAACTTGGATCTTCACTTTCAAGATCGGTTTTGCTATTCTGGGTCCCTTACGTTTCCATGCATTGCTTTTATACTCAAAGGGGAAAAGATTTTTAGAAAAGGGAGAAAGGACAAGAGATGTTGCTGAAGGACTGGGAAATCTCCTTTGTGTTTTCTGAGTGGCATTGGGCAGTACACCTTTTTTCTTGGGCAGGGGGATTTTTCTCTCCTAAATTTTGTCCTGGTCATAGATCCGCCCCCCCCGCTCCGCCCCCACAGTTGATGAACAATGTGCAGGGTATAGATTTAGCTAAGGCCTCATTTCCTACCTTGAATCACTTGGCTGGGTGAGGGGTTCTTTCCACAAAGGGGCTCCCACAGCATCCTAATTTAGGGTTTACTACTAGCAAAGTATTATCACACTCTATTGTTGTGGCCTCTACACTGTTTTTATTGCAATCTCATCAGCAAATCACTTTTGAGTGTGTATTTTGCATTTTCATTTTGAGTATACAAATATATGCATATTATTCATTTGTAAAATGTATATATACACTATGATCATTACGTGTATTAAAAATATAAACAAAACAGAAATTTTAGAGAATGAGATAAAAATGATTACAAGTAGTTTTCCTACACTTCATAGGCTTTTATATTCTAGAGATTGCCTCTTAGATCTTTCCTATTTACTTCCTGTGTTCCCAACACTCAGCCAAGGGCTGTGTACATAGCAGAAGCTCAATGTCTGAGGTGCAAAAGGGCAATTTCAGATATCGTACTATTTCTATTAATACCCACAACCTCTATTTCTAGGTTTTGCATCCTGTAATAAAGGTTCTGCATCTATCACCTGCTAGGGTCAATTTATGAGGAAGCTGTGGACTCCTCATCTCCCCTTGTTTTCTCTTTTACCTTTGATTACACTTGGCTGACTTACTTCTTTGGAAAACAGCATTCATATCATCCTTCACTATACTCTTCATCAAGAATAGAAAGCAAACTCTTTAATTTGGATGTATTACGGGTGGGTGTGAACAAAGGGCAAGGGAACTCTTGGGTGTGAGAGTCAGGGTGAGCTTCAAGAAGCTGGATTTTGAAGGGCCAGTGGAAGTTAGCTAAATGAGGAAGGGAAGAAGGAGGTCCCAGCTGAACCGCAGGAGCAAAGGCAGGAAGATGGAAGAGGACCTAGCATACTGCAAGCTAGGGTTGGGTTTGGTGTAGCTGAACCCAAGGGGTAGGGGCAGTTGCATTCCTGTTTTAAAAGATCCCTCCAGCAGCTCTGTGGAGCATTGAGTTTTGAGGCTGGAAGTCGGAGAAGTTGCTGGTTGCGTGGAGAGTACGGCACAATTATAATTAGAGGATAGATACCTCTGGCCTTAGGAGTCCAAAGAGAAGCAGGTAAACTCTTCATGCTCTGGCTGCATTCTTTTTTAGGATCTCAAAGCCCATTTTTATTTTTTTTTTTCGATCCAAGGTTGTTGTTGCCCGTTCCCTTTGTTTTCCAAGAAACACTTACTTATACCTTCAGTGAAAAATCAGTGTATTTCCGGGGAATCCTGGGGGCTTGGTGTGTTCTGTTTTTGCCTTCCTTCGAGGCCTGCAGCCACAGGAAGATGCTGAGGTGCATTTCTGCACAGGTTTTGTCAAGCCAGGGCTTGGTTGAAGGTTTCATCCCACCCCCGTCCCAATTAAATGGAACTACGCATGCAGATGAAGGTTCAAACACATCCTGCCAGAAAACCGCCTCGGGATATCAGGAACCCCGAACCTACTGCCAAGGGCGTGTCGAGGCGGGGCAGGCCGCCCCAGTCACCGCCCACCGCCTTTCGGGATCACACCCTTTCCTGGGGAAGGAAGGGGCAGGACAACCCCAGCGACCTCTCGTAGAGGACCCTGCGCGGGGTGGGTCGAGACCGCTTCCAGGCGCAAGGGGGCGGGGCCTCCCTGATGGATTCTGTCGGTGACGGCGCCAGGCTCCGCCCCTCCGGGAAGAGGGGGCGGGCGGCGCGGGGCGAGCGCGCGAGCAGGGCCGGAGCCCGCCTGGGAGCCCGTGGAACCCAGCGCAGCCAGCGGAGCGCCTTGGGCGGCGGCGGCGCGCGCGATGGCTCCGGCCGCGGACCGTGAGGGCTACTGGGGCCGCACGACCTCCACGCTAGACTGGTGCGAGGAGAACTACGCGGTGACCTGGTACATCGCTGAGTTCTGTGAGTGCGACCTCCGGCCCCGGGCCCCGGCCTGAGGCGGGAGGGCGGGAGAGAGGGCGCCGGGCTGCGAGGGAGACGCCGTGTGAGGAAGGGTGAGGGCGGACCTGGCAGCCAGGGAGGCAGCAGGCCCGGCCGCGGGGAGTGGAGTGGGAGCCCTGGCCGGGAGGCAGGAATGGAAAGGCTGCGGATGGAGGGACCGGATGGGAATCGAGTGTGTCGCCGAGGACGCCGGGGTCCGGACGTGTTGGGGGAGGGGGGGACACCTGCTCCTACTGTTGCTGCCACCACCCTAAGGGCACAGAAGGGAACAGATCTCCGTTTAATCTCCCCTCCCCCATACGTGAGAACTCTAAGGTCCTTGCTTTCCTCGTTCTCTGTTAATGTTAGACCTCTTTGGTCACCTCCAGGAAACGGTTTGGGTCTCAACCCCCTACCTCCATTCCCTCCCACCTCGGACATCTTCAAGTACCTGAGCACAACTATTAAACTCTCAGCTTGCACCAGAGGTAGAAGGCAGAGCATCTCATTAGTCTCTACCTTCCGGCTGGTGCCAGGGTCCCAAGAACACAAGGGACCAAGTGCCTTCTGCTCTGCCCCCTCTCCGACTGCCTAAAGGTTAGGGGTCATCCGAGAACACTGCTATCCCTGATTGCACTTCATTCAGCTGCTGCCCCTAACGGGCACCACTGGCCCCCCCGGCCGTGTGTGTTTCCCCAGATGAGCATTCCTGCCAGACTAGGAGAGCACAGGGAGGGCACAGGGAGAGCACAGGAAGAATCGGACACTTCTCTTTCTGTTGTTTACTTTGGTCATGTTTTGAGAGCACAGCGATTGATACTTCTTCAGGCACCTGCTTCTGGCGAGGGATAGAGAATATTTTTTGTCTATTACTTGCTTCTTTTCATTTGCTCCACGTTCTCAGGACATGGAGCACACTTTTTAGCTAACCTTCCCATTGTTGGGTCCTTCTCCCAGACTGTTTTTGACTTATAGAAGAGAGGGAAGGCTTTCCTACCAGCTGATCCTATTTATTTCGGTTTCCAGTAATTGGCTAAGTTTAAAAAAAAAAGGAGGTAAACAGAACTCGTGCTGAAGTTTTAGGACTTTGGTACCATTCCCTTTATACCACGATTGAGGCTGAGATATTTCCTGAACTACTGGTTTAAATTAATATTTTAAAAATAATGGTGAAAATGTGGGCCAAGGAATCATTTGTAGGGTAAGTACTTGGCAGTTTAAATGTTGGCAAAGGAAGCGCTTTACCGGTTTCTTTGATGGTGTTGGCAGGCCTGCCCCTGGTCCAGAGGAGGTCCATGAGGGAAGGGATGTAAAACCATGCTCTCTGAACTGGAGATGGAAGAGAAACTCCAGGGTCTTCAAAAGTTAGATGGGCTGTCATACAGAGTTAAACTTTCAGTAGTTCCTATAATCTGGAATTAGCACCTGTGGGTGGAAACTAACTGTAAGGAGAGATTTTACTTCAACATAGGCAGTTTTTTATCTAAAGATGGGGCATCCTGGAATGGGTTGACTCCTGAGGTAGAGGACGTTTTGACACTGAAAGTGTTAAAACAGACATTGCTTAACTAACTCAAAACATGAATATTTTAGGGGGAATTGTTTGTTTAGTAGAGAAAAGGGTGGGTTGGCTTTAGTTGGCCTTTAGGTTCTTTTCATCTTTATGGGTCACTCACTATAGGTAGTAATGACTCTTAGTTTAGAACCAAGGGTTAGAATGAAAAGAGAAAACTGACAGTTAAGTCATGTGAACTAGATACTACTGTTCTGGCAGATAGCTCTGAGAAATGGGAAATGGCTTTAGTTATTAATGTCCTTAGAAGAGGAAGCTCTGAGCAGACTGCAGGGAGGGTTTTGACATAGGAATCGGGGGTTGCAAGAAGATGATGAGTGAATGTTGGCCACTCTTTGCACATGCACCTTGGGAGAAAAAAATGACCTGGAGGAAGTTGAGGTCAAGTTTTCTTACCCAGCAAGTGAACTATATGTTGATTAATAATGGTGTTTTTAAAACAAGTGCAACTTTGTCATCATTCTAATATTTAAACTAATGATACAAACATTGTGGATAGTAATAATAGTGACAATAACTATATCTAAGTGCCTCCTATGTACCACACTTTCCGGAGTGCTTCATATATTTTATCTCTTTTGGTCTTTACCGTAACTCCAAAAAGAAGGTATTATTATCCTCATTTCACAGATTAGGAAATTGAAGTAAGTAGTAAGGTTGTACTCTAAGAAGGAAGGTTGCAAAGAGTGGTGTGGAGGTAGTATTCAAGTAGAGGTCTGACTCCAGAGCTACTATACCATGTTACTTCTATCATATTCATTGTTAATTAATATTCTCCATGCAAGGGATGAGGACAAGCATGAAATAGTATACTATCACAAAGGGAAAAGAGAATAACTATTCAAGATTCCTATCTTTCAGCATTACAGTGGGTGTGTTTTGGATAACATAAAGATGAGTTTAGGGAATTGCATATTCAGATATGGCAATGGGTCTTAGAAGCTATCTTCTTAACATCAGCCAAGTTGAATTCAAATTTCTTTTCTGTTTGAGCAGATTATAAGGACCAGGGGAAAGGGTAGAAGATTTTAGTTGTAAAATAATAAGCACCTTGATGTGCCAGAAGTTATACGTACAGGTAGTCCTCACTTTGTAACACGTTGTGCAACATAAATGACAACATAAGTAACCATGCAAGTTAAAACTGGCAAAGTGATCTTAATTAGTGGGAAAAGTTACGATTGTTCTGTGACCTTTAAACATTTTTGTCATACATTATAAACCCTTTTTTTGTTGGTTATAAATATATAGAAAAATGAAAAAGATAGTAAAACTAATATTTATGTAGTACATTGAGGATTAAAATGTTTTATTTTTTTGTTAAAGAACTTAAGGGTAGCTTGAACAGTGCCTGCTTTCTTGTCTTATAACGTGTGATACGGAAGGAGTATTTTTTCTATGCCTTGTTGAATTGTTATACTCCTTTCTAAGTTTGAATCAGCTCCCAGCATTTTATTCTTTGTACTTTCCACATTGTAAAACAGCTCTGAGGGTTCCTTTAATATTAAGTTTTTTGCTGGTGTCCCTTCTGGTCCATCTTCATACTTTTCTCACAACCATTTTCTTTGTGTCATTTATTTGTGTCAATAAGTTTGCCTTCACTAAGTTCCTCTGCTTGCATACCTAGAGTCTTTCAAACGACAGTGGGGTCAACATTGTCATGGTCATCTGTTTCTTCTATCACTCTGTGGATGATTGGAATTTCACTTCTAACATTGTCACTTTTGTTTCTTTGCTGTACTTTCATCATTGTTGGCCTGTTCTCTCTTTTGATTGTTCATTTTTGCAAAATGTCACATACATTCATCACCAGGAAACAAGGAGGCAAGTCAACTACATGCTTTGCTATCTGCACAAGAACTGAGTAACAGATGTGCAGTGACTAATCACCGAGCGGCTTTGCCCTGATGTTTTATCCCTAGTTAGTAGTTTCAGCAGAGAGATATGTTTTATCCATAGTTAGCAGTTTAGGCAGAGAGAGATTTTTCTCTCAGCACTTTGAAAATATTATTCCATTGTGTCCTGGCTTTTATTGTTGCTGATGAGAAGTTCTCCAACAGCCTAATTGTTGTTCCTTTGCAGTTTATTTTGTCAAATCCACCAACAGACTATGAAAGAAGTGACTTGGTTAATCACTGATGATGATGTGCTTCTATTATTTACATGTGATTTGCAGACTGAAGGTCTAGTAGCAAAGTTTGTAGTGCTATGTTTAATTACTCACAGTTAATATACTGTAAGTAACTGAAATTTGAATTGTGTTGTTGGGGGATTGGTATTAACTAAACTGTGGTGACTGAAATTTGTGCATATGAGGACCTTGCCAAGTGAAGACTGCTTGTGTAATTCTAATCTTCAGGACATTCCTAGGAAGTAATAAGTAGATGATGTTATATTCCCCTTTTTTAGCTGAGGATACTGAGTTTTAGAGAAGTAACCTGCTCAGCATCATACAGCTATTAAGTGGCAGAAATAGTATTCAAATATAAGTCTCACAGCTCTTTCTAGCAAGACATACTGTCTACAGGAAGTGGAGTTTCAGGTGTAGTTGATTTCGTGGAAGAAATATTACCTAAAGGGAAATGGAAGTGAATGCTCTGCTTTAATTATGGCCTTTGAGCAGAATTACCTAGCGAAAAAATTTTCAGAATGTCTTGTTTGTTCAGCACATAGTTGTTGAACACTTTTTTTTAGTCATTGACTCAGAGTGCAAAACTATGTGAAGATACTCTGATCAAGGTAGCTAACAGGCTAGCAGGAGTATAAACAGGTAAGTTCAAATAGGCATTTCCTATTTTCAAGGGAAATGCATTACTAAAAATGTATTTGAAAGAATGTCCAAGAATTGACATATTATGGAGGGTTTATTTATCGGAAAGCTAAAATATATTTTAAAATTCGTAACTGTGGGTTTTATAGGGGTTATAAAAGCTAGATAGTTGCTGTCCTTTCTCACAAGCTTGCTACCCCTCTTCCCATCCTTTTCTCAGGAATTGGGCAGAAGAAAAGCAGGGCAACCCTTACTTTTTCGACCTTTATTATGAGATTCATTTAGGTGGGGCAAAGGGGTCTTTTTTTTCTTGCCACTGCCACACAAGACCTGAGAGGCTTCAACCAGCTGCCTCTGCCATACACACGATGCCATTCAAGGCATCTAGCTGCTCATAGTTCATTGCTGCCTTTCTTTTTCTTTTTAAATTTTTTTAGGTCCCTTTCCACTCTCTTTTCTCTGCCTAAACTGCTAACTAGGGATAAAACATCAGGGCAAAGTCTGTTGGTGATTAGCCACTGCACATCTGTTGTTCAGTTCTTGTACAGATAGCAAAGCATGTAGTTGAGTTGCTTCTTCTAATTTATTATTATTTCTACATAAATTGTAATTATGAATGTATTTACCCCATTTTAATTA